GGAAAAGCCTGCTGGTACCAAGGGAGGGGAAAGCCCACATTTCACACAGGGATACATGAGCACCATGCTCACAATGAACACGAGCAGGAAACGCCAGCCCAAGATACGCCTCTTTGGCATTAGGATTATTTTAAGCTGATTGGTTTTAAGAAACATCAGACACAGATGAATCTCTGAAAACTGAAAAGGAGTCATCTTTTGTGAGAGAGATTTACACTTATAAAGGAACTCTCCACTTGTAAGGGTGTCTCCCTCTCTATACCAGGAAGAGGAGGGTGACTCTAAATCTCTAGACACTCTCATCAATGGAAAAGGCAAGGACTTAAATCTGCATAACACCCTTACTCTTGTTTACTGTGCTTTTCCTCAAAACTTCCCATAATTGCCCCTTCCCAACATCCTCCTTCTGTCTTTAGCTGAAAATGATATTTAAGGTGATGGCTTAGGCCATTTCAGGGAATTACTCGGTTTTCCTGGGTCTGTTCTCTGTATAAAAGAAGTATTCATGTTATTAAACATCTGCTGTTTTTCTCCTGTTAATCTGTCTTTTATTACAGTGGAATCTCAGCCAAGAACCTAGAAGGGTAGAGGGAATGCTATTTTTCCTCCGCTACAATAACCAACACAGATTTCAAAGGAAAATATCAGAAAAGCTTCGAGACATTAAGGTGATCCAAATTTTAGAGGCCACCTCACTCACACAAAAATGAGAGAATATATCTGATTATAAAATCAAACTTAACATTTTCTTTCTGCTGCTATTCTTGCTACTCAAGCAAGCCACGGGATAGCCGAGAGAGACTGGGAAGGGGGAGGTGGGGAGCTTACCAGTTGAGTGTATCATCAGTGCAAGGCTTTTAAGATGCCTCGTCGACCGGTAGATCTTGTTATAGCCTCTGTTTCTTACTTTGCTGTGGTGATACTGGATGTATCGTTCAAGAAGGAAATGCAGAATCCACAAAATAACTTTTCCCAGGATTATGACCGTCTGAACTTTCAGTGGGTTGGTATAGTTTCCTGGGCACTTGTCCTCGTTTGGATTGGGGTAAGAACAAAGCACGCCTGTTAAAAACGCTAAAACAACAAACACAACCTGGTGGAAAGGAAAGCAGTAGAATTAATATTCAATATTTGGATTTAAGAAACAATAATCACCATCCCAGCACATATTCTAATACCTATGACTTTCACTGTCCTATTTTTATGAGTTTAAAAAAATTTTTTTTCCCATTTTTACCAACTTCCCCAGAAAATCTGGGGAAAAAATTTGCAGAAAATCCTGGAAACAGATAAAATCACAAATAAGAAATAAAAATCACCCCAAGTCTCATCTAACCGAGATGAGTCTTAATGTTAAACACAGTTTCCTGCCCACTTCTCTGTTATTAAAAAGAGTAAAAACAGTAAATTTTGAGCCTCAAATGTAACTAAGTAAAATACTGAATTAAAAGTTTTTTTCTAGTTTCATTTTCAAGAGAAAAAGAATAGCTATCCAATTAGATTGACAAAAATTTAGAAGATTGGTGCCAAAATCTGTACAAACAGACATTCTCATATGTTGCTGACTGGCTTGGGAACTGCTCTTTCAGTTTCAAGATAATTTGGAAATGATCTTGACCTAGAAATCCCCGACGGACCCTAGCCCTCAGAAGTAAAAGTACCAGTACCTAGGATATATAGATATAAATACTTACTGCAGTATTCTCTATATTTGCAAAAATGGAAAACTGCCCAAGTATATGCGTGCACAGCCACTCATATAACAGAATATTATTCACCTATAAAAGAATTACCTACAGCTCTATGTATTAGTTTGGGTGGGTGTCTATGACATGTTAAAATTAAAAGTTCTAAGTTGTAAAGTAGTAGTTCACCATGTTCTTGGATTGGAAGAATTAATGTTGTTAAAATGGCCATACTACCCAAAGCAATCTACAGATTTAATGCCATCCCTATTAAACTACCCAGGACATTTTTCACAGAACCAGAACAAGTAATCCTAAAATTTATATGGAATCACAAAAACCCAGAAATGCCAAAGCAATACTGAAGAAAAAGAACAAAACTGGAGGAATAACCTTCCCAGACTTCACACAAAATTACAAAGCTACAGTAATCAAAACAGCATGGTATTGGCACAAAAACAGACATACATTTGGATCAAAGGCACAGAATAGAGAGCCCCAAAATAAACCCACACACGTATGGTCAATTAATCTTCAACAAAGGAGGCAAGAATATACAATGGAGAAAAGACATTCTCTTCAGCAAGTGGTGTTGGGAAAGTTGGATAGTCACATGTAAATCAATGAAGTCAGAATACTCTCTCACTCCATACACAAAAATAAACTCAAAATGGCTTGAAGACTTAAACATGAGACAAGACACCACAAAACTCCTAGAAAAGAACATAGGCAAAACATTGTCTGACGTAACTGTAGCAACGTTTTCCTAGATCAGTCTACCAAGGCAATGGAAATAAAAGTAAAAATAAACAGATGGGACCTATTTAAATTTATAAACTTTTGCACAGCAAAGCAAACCATAAACAAGCAAAAAGACAACCTATGGACTGGGAGAAGATATCTGCAAATGATGCAACTGTCAAGGGCTTAACTTCCAGAATATATAAACATTTCATACAACTTAATAACAAAAAACAAACAATCCAATCGAAAAATAGGCAGAAGACCTGAATAGACATTTTTCCAAAGAAGACATATAGATGGCCATCAAGCACATGAAAACATGCTCTACATCACTAATTATCAGAGAAAAAGCAAATCAAAACTACAATGAGCTATCAACTCACACCAGTCAGAATGGCCATTATTCAAAAGTCCATGAGTGATAAATGCTGGAGAAGGTGTGGAGACAAGGGAACCCTCCTACACTGCTGGTGGGAATGTAGTTTGGTGCAGCCATTATGGAAGACAGTATGGAGATTCCTTAAAAAACTGAAAATAGACATACACTATGATCCAGCAATCCCACACCTGGGCATATATGTGAGAAAACTCTAACTTGAAAAGATACATGCACCCTAATGTTCATAGCAGCACTATTTGCAATAGTCAGGACACAGAAGCAACCTAAATGTCCATCAGTAGATGATTGGATAAAGAAGATGCAGTATATATACACAAGGGAATATTATTCAGACATAAAAAATAATGCCACTTGCAGCAATATGGGTGGACCTATCATACTAAGTGAAGTCACACAGAGAAAGACAAATATATATCACTTATATGCAGAATCTAAAAAAAAGTGACACCAATGAACTTATTTACAAAACAGAAACAGACTTGCAGACATAGAAAGCAAACTTATGGTTACCAAAGGGGAAAAGAGGGGAGGGATAAATTAGGAATTTGAGATCTGCAGATACAAAGTACTATATATAAAATAGATAAACAACAAGTTCCTACCATACAGCCCAGGGAACTATATTTAATAGCTTATAATAACATAATGAAACAGAATATATATATATCTATAATTGATTCACTATGCTGTACACCAGAAACCAATACAACATTGTAAATCAACTATACTTCAATTAAAAAAAAAGTGCTAGTTCAAAGTGTGGTCTCCAGATCAGTTAGAAATGCAAATGCTCGGGCCCTACCCCAGACACACAGAATCAAAACCTCTGGGGTTTACAGCAATCTGTAGTTTAATAAGCCTGCCAGGGAGTCTGATGAATGTTCAAGTCTAAGAAACACTGCTATCAAGTAATAAATAACATATTATTCAATTTGCGGAGGAAGTGGGGGACATCCTTTTATAATATGTTTATCTTTTTGTACATACATGTATGAACTTAACAAATGACACGGAAAGAGATACAACAAACTGACCTGATTTATGAACTCAGGGAGAAGGGCTGAAGCAAAGAGAAGGGAAGATTATATCTTTGCGTACTTTGGTAATATTTCACTTGTTACAATAAGTATTATTCTGTACTTTAAAAAAATCAAAAAAAGAAAAATTTAAATGCTGTCATTAGCATCCACCATCAAGCACCAATCTTATTATGTAATAAATCTTTTAAAAATACATGTGATTCTTCAAGAGCAGTAATATTTGCTATGGCAACTCAGGATGCTGACATCATAAAGTAAAAAGTGGAAAAGTCAACATGTTCCCCCTACTATAATATGCTGTACATTGAACCCAACTGATCCATTTTATGTAGAGTAGCATATAAAGACATTCATTTTTATTGCTCTTTAACACTTCAGACTTTCTTAGTTCCAAAATTAGGACAATCACTCCCATAGTATCAAAGGCAGGTGATCTAATATACAATGTTTTTTGTTAGTGATGTGTGTGTGTCATACACAAAGTATGTTATACAAAGTATACAAAAAGGAACCAGAAAGGAAGCATTTCAGGTGTACCTGGGGATCAGGAAGGCATGGCAGAACCAGGCCACTTACTAGGTCCACACGCAGAAAGCAGGTGCACCTCCCAGTGTACTCGGTTCTGAGTTCAAGTCTCCCTCGGTGCACTTACTGGAGCAGCAGCTGGGGCAGACCCCCAGCCACACCCACCCACCTCATGAACACCCAAGGAGAATTTGCTCTCTTTCGATTTTTCACATTGCAGCAAAGAACAAATGACTACAGCCCGCTAGTGCCCGAGATTGCAATAACTGAAGTGGAGGAAACAGTGAACAGACATGGAGCAGAGCCACCAAAAAGGAGCAGAGCCACCAAAAAGCCTGCAAACCATTCATACATGTGTTTTGCTTTGTTTTTATGATGCTGAATTTATGTATTTATTTATTTGTTTGCTTATTTTTATTGGAATATAACTGACATATAACATTGTGTAACTTTCAAGTGTACACCGGGTTGATCTGAAACATTCATATACTGCTTTAGCCAACACCTCTACCATGCCACATGATTACCATCTCTTTTTTTGTGGTGAGAACAATTAAGATACCTAGTCTCCTAGCAACTTCGAATTTATAATACTGAAGTGTTGACTATAATTATTATGCTGTGCACTAGATCTCCAGGATTTATTCACCTAGTAGTCACTATATCTGTTTTGGAAAATGCCCAGGCATTTGTAATTTTGTATATAAAACATGGGGCAACATCATACTTATTTTTCTGTAAACTGATTTCTCTGCTTCACATTATTTCCTAGGTGTGTAGATAAATTGATAAACTTTTGTGTCAACATATATAGATTTATCTGTATCTTTTCTGTTTTTATGACTGAAAAAGTAATTCATGCATAGGGTTAAACATTTGTTTTTCAAATAGTCCAAAAAAGTAAACAGTAAAATATACTAGGTGTCCCTTCCACTGAGGCCCGCAGTGTAACTAGTATCCAAAGGGTCTTGTGAACGCGTCTGGAAATATTCCATTACAGAATAAAGGAATACATGTTAAGTTTCTAGTACCAATTCCAACGTGCTGGGGAGGCTGGAGGGGACAATGCTCTGACATCAGCTGGGTGCCCCACAATTCAACTCAATTCTGACACGATCTACCTGGGGTAGATCCCAGGGGTTACACGCTCAGTCCCACAAGACTGCCCCCACGTCTGATGCTAATTCCCAGTCCAAGTTGTTCCAGTGCTTCTTACCAACCAGTTACAAATCAAAGGTTCCCACCAACTCCTCCTTGGGTTCAATTCATTTGCTAGAGGGGCTCACAGAACTCAGGAAACTTGTTTACTCACTAGATCACCAGCTTTGTACAAACAATATTAAAGATTACAAATCAACAGCCCGATGAAGAGATGCCTTGGGCCAGGTCCCAAACACAGGAGCTTCTGTCCTCGTGGAGTTTGGGGCCCAACAGGGTGGTTCACAACAAGGTTTCTGGCTCCCCAGCCTGCGCTCTCTGAACCCCTCCTTTGGGACTTTATGGAGGTTCCACTACATAGGCCCGGTTGATTAAATCACCGATCACTGGTGGTTGCTCCAATCTCCAGACTCTGTCCCCTCCTCAGAGGTCAGGGGGTGGGGCTGAAAGCTGCAATCCTCTATTTCTAGTTGGTTCCCCAGGCAACCAGCCCCCACCCTTAGGGGCTGTTCAAAGCCACCTCATTAACATGAACCCAGCAGTGGTGGGGAGGGGTTGTTATGAATATCAAGACACCCATTTCACCTCTGACTCTGAAGGGATCTCAGGAACTGAGAACCAGAGACCAAAAATTACAACAAAGATGCTCCCATTGTTCTTATCCCTCAGGAAATTCCAAGGGCTTTGGGAGCTACGAGCCGGGAACCATGGACAAAGACCAAACCGATATGAGAACTCTATTTCAGTCATCTGAATTTCCAAATCTATTTCTCATAGTCACAATATCACCTATGCAAACAACAGCCCTCTCGACTCCCTTTTAAAAGGCGCACACCACTGCGAACTACATTTTTTTCCATTCAACAATGCAATTGTGAAGGCTAGTCTCAATATACACACAGCCACCCCAGGTTTCTAAGTTCCTCTTTCAACGCTGCATACGCATTCCTTCATGTGGATGGGATGTAAGGAGCATCCTCTGGATGGCGGCAGCTTGCAGTTTCCTCACATCACAGATGGCACTGCTGTCATAAACAGTATCCTCACGTGTGCACAGGTATGTCTACAATAAATTCTTTGAAGACAGTATTGGAGTAAAACAATATGCACACTTTAAGTGTTGATAGATATAGCCAAACTGCTCTCTGAAGAGCTTACACATTTTTTAAAAACGTCACCTCTGGATGGATCACTTTCTTCCAACCAACTTACATGTATTAGTAAGAGAAGGTTTGCTATGATGACCGTAGGAAGAGGGTGGAATCTGGGTCTAAAATGAGCATGTAACGAGTGATGGGGGAGATGCTGGATGTCCAGGAGGGGGTCATCTTCGATACTTTGGATGAGGTCCAAGGAACCCTGGGTGCAGAAAAAAGGAAGCAAGCTGTAATCACCACTTTCTGGATGATGTCTCCCAGCCAAATCTACTAAACTAAAATTTCAAAATCCATTACACAAATAGAGGCAAGAAAACCCACTCCCTACCTAAAGCCAATTTTGAAAAACTACCATGAGCCGCTTGATGACTACTGCATACAAACTGGTAAAAACAACAATTATTAAAACAGGTAGAGGAAATCTTAATTCATTTGTCTTCAAATACACAAGATTAAAGCAAGTAATTTTCTTCAAGGTCTCAAAACTTACATATTGATTTAGTTAACATTATTTATATTATTGATAAAATAATTACATACGGTGGCAATTCTTCAACGGTATCTTGGCGTTCCACAAGATTTTGGAAAGTTGGTGGAGTCTTTTTTAAGAGGTCTTAAAACAAACTTTCAGGTATGACGGAAGTATTGTGGAGTACTAACAGAAACAGACCACCCTGATAGACTTCAGAATGTAGATAACAGCTTCTCAATGGAAACAGCTAGCTGCAAGGTCACTGAAATAGCCAGAAAGGCTGAGCTGCAACTGAAAAATCTAGTGAGTTGTGTTTAAAGGTACTGTCTTGACAGGAACAGTGCTTCAGGTCTCTGGTGCACATGACAATCTCTCAACCTCAGATCCTTACTGAAAACTATTATATACAAGGCACTGTTCCTGAGACAAAGGAATGTAAGACACAGTCAAAAGGAGATGACATTTGCATCAGAGAGGTTAGGGATAAAGGCGTGCATGGCTGAATAACACAAGACTACACGGCAGAATACAGTGAATGGCATACTGCAGGGAAGCACATGATAAATTAGTGAGTGATCAGCACAGAGGACACAACCAATTTAGGTTAGCTAGCTGCACTAGAATGAGAGGGAAGTGAAGACTTGGTGGGAAAAGGGAAGCCTGAGAACAGGACATGGAGTTAGAGGATAAAGACTCCTCACTTTGGAAGGGGCGGAGAGGGGGACGAGTGGTGTAAGGGCGGGCTGCGGGGCACCAGGATTTCAAGATAACACAGCAATCTGGGGCATGACCAGAACTGGGTGGGCTTCTCAATTTCCACTCGCAGCCATTCAGCGCTGCTGCAGGTTTTTTATTCAATGTCTGGATAGCTTCCTGTTTAGTTTGCTGTGACTGTTCCAGACTGTTCCCTTCCAGACTCCTCCGCCTCTAGCTTTCTCAGTTAGGAGCTGTGCTGCCTCTGTGGCTTGTGCACCCCGAGGCTGTCCTTCCAGTTGAGGCAGTTCCCACAGGTAGCCTTCCCTGGCACCCAAGCATCTGGATCTCCCCTACGGCCCCTGCCACCTGCGGCCCATGTCTTCCCAAGCATTTTGCGCTCACCTCCACAATCATACTGTCTTATCTGTCTTCCCCACAAGATCACATCACAGGATCCACTAACTCCCCACTTCTTCACCTTTGCAATCCTAGCGCCCAACAGGGACTCATGATTGGCACTCAGCCAACATGGGATGAATGAATGGATGCTGCAGACCTGTCCTTGCCTTCCTCTAACTCAGCTAGGATATCAGCAAAGATCTGGGCTAATCAGAGAGATTATCAAGAGCTGTGGGGAGAAACCACTCTGACCAGAGGCAGGAAGTGCTGTGCTTAACGGTGGGCTCCCCCAATGAGCGGCCTGGGTTCAAACATAAGTGCTTCGAGCTGTGGGCAAGCCTCCCACCTCTCCGCCTCAGCGCCCCCACCTGTACAAAGGAGGGAGCAGCACCTGCTTCCCAGCTTTGCTGGGAAGACAAAGGCATCAGTGAACATAAAAGTGCTTGGCACACTCCCTGGCACGGAGCAAAGGTCACTAAGTATCAGCCCTGGCGTCTGCTAACTCTTGCTTTCCTTTGTTCCCCAGACAGCCTTCATTACCATTCTAACTCCTAGATCTGCTCCTTTCTTTCTGTTCTCACCACCTCAGTCCAGGCCCTCGTGGCAGGTCTCGTGGCCTTTACTAGGACCCTCGCATCTCCAGACCTTCGCGACCTTTCTCACTGGAGTCAGAGTTCTTCCAAAGTGAACACTCAAGTTTCTCTCCCCCTGTACCTTGGCTTCCTCCCCATTATCCTCAAGACCGAGTCCGAATTCTTAGTCCGGCTGTCTGCCTTACCGTTCCGTCCCAAGCAACTTGTCTGGATAGGCCTTTTACCGCCTCTCTCCTCCCGATGCTCACTGTTCAGTTTCAGTCTCTCCAGAAACCCTCCCAATCCCTGGGCCTCTTCACCTGTCAAAGGTTTGTTTCAGTAAAAATCCTGCCTTCTCTGATGCCTCCGCACTGTTCCTACCGCCTTTGTCCCCTGGCGTTGTACTTTTCATTTCTACAAGTTTGAGTGGGTCTATTTTATATCTCCTGTGTGTCTTTTTAACCTTTGGATCATATAGGAAAGAGTTGTAATTTTTTAATGTCCTGGTTTGCTATTCCTAGCACATCATTTTTTAATCAGTTTTAATTGACTCATTATGTGTCATATTCCACTGTCTCTTTGTGTGCCGTGATCATTTTTTTCCCACTTTGTTGAGATATAATTGACATGTCACGTTGTATAAGTTAAAGGTGTACCATGAGTTGATTTGATACACTTATATGTTGCAAAATGACGACCACAAGCATTAGCTATGACCAGCATTAGCTAATTCCTCCATCACATCACATAATTACAGAAGCCTAGTAATTTTGGATTGGATGCCAGACATTGCAAAATTTACCTCTCTGGGTGCTGGACATATTTGTATTCTTATAAATATTCTTGAGCTTTGTTCTGGGATTTAGTTCAGTCATTTGAAACAGTTTGATCTTTTGGTCTTTCTTTTAAGGTGCTCTGTAGGTGGGGCCATACCATGTTTGGCCTGATGCTAATTATTCCCCACAAGTGAGGCACGACCTTTCTGAACATTCTACCTAGTACAGTGTGATTACAAGGCTTCCTGTCAGGCTGGTAGCACAAGTACTATTCCTGGCCTTGCTCCTTCTAATCCTTCCAGGTGGTTCTCTGACAGTCCTCAGGGAGTTTCCTTGGAAGAAGGCAGAGCAGGACTCAGCTGGACACATGCGGGGACTCTGAACCTCTCCTGAGCTCTCCTTCTGCACAGCGCTCTGCTCTCTGGGCCCTATGTCCTGTGAAGTCCATCTGCCTCCATCTCCCCAGATTCAGCTGCACCTCCCTCAACTCTGGGTCTACTAAAGCCCTGCCTGGTCCCCCTTCCTCAGTCACAGCCCCCAAACTCTCTCAAGGCGGTGAACTGGGGCAAACACAGGGCTCACATCACTTGTTCCCCATCCCTCAGAGACCATGGTCCTTCACTGTCAGATGTCCACTATCTCAAAATATGACATTTCATACATTATATACAGGTTTTGGGTTCTTTCAGGCAGGATCCTTCACGTTGGCCAGGAACAGAAGTCCCCACTACTCTCTTACACTATTATAACTCACAGTCCTAAGCACGAGGTATCCCAGCGGTTGGGATGAGGTGTGCCTCATAAGGGCAGGACTCTGCATTATACCATGTTCTTTGTACCCTTAATGCCTGATACACAGCAGGTGCTCAATATGTGTGCTGAGTATTCACTCAACTCTTTTGAAAGATGGCCCAACTTCCTGGACAGTTGGGATCTGGAAATTTTTTAACAAGGTAGTGCCTTGACTCTAAGACAATAGTCCACCTTATCTCCCATGAGGTCCCCTTCATGCAACTTCTCCAGCCGAAATGCGCTTTCTGGATTGCCCCACAAATATCCTCTCTTACCTTTTTCAGAATCCAACTCATCGTTCAAGGTCCAATCAAGACTTATGGTCTCTACAAAACTCGTCCTGCCAAGTGTTTTCTTTCTACATTTAAAACTCCTATAAAACGTAATACCTGTAGTATTAATTTGGACCATTAGTCATGCTGCCTTGTATTGTTTCCTTTATGAGCAGGCCTTTTGTTTTCCCTGACTGCACTGAAGGGGTTGGGAGCAATACAGTTTCTCCTCTATGTCACTTATTAACTTTTCAAGAAATACAATGTATTTGGTGGCTATATCAAATACACTGTCCTCTGGATCCTAAAGGAAGTGTAGGAAAACCATGCAAACAGCACCCTGCACCCTGTCACTCTCTGTAACTTGCCATCTGCAAGTGACAGGTGAAGGGAAGATGACCCTGAGCCAATCTCTTCATTCCCACGATTAATAACTACATCGCTACCTGGAGAAGATAGATGTCTGTTTTTGGCCCACATCATCTCTTCCCTCTTCTTTTATGACAATACCTCTGCCTCCTTTGGGGACCCAATGTCTACCTCTGCATTATGTCTCAAGGGGATCATCCTTTGATGCTCCTCACCTTCCTCGGGCCTAGGGGTGGTCATGGAACCAAAGAGGGCGGGGCCAATCCAACTGTCTCTGGGAGCAGCACAAAGGGAGGGAGGCCGTGATTGAGGGAGCCCCATCCCACCACAGACACTGAAAGAATTCCAGTCATTGGATCTGCTGAGCTGCCCTTGTTTGGGTCCTTTCAGAGGCTTAGGTGTTCATCTACCCTATATCCTTTGGAATAAATCTCTTTCTTCCTTAAAGTAGCCTGAGTTGGTTTGCCTGCTTGCAAACAAGGAACCCTAACAAAAAACCTTTGCCTCTTTTAACTCATTTAAGTGTCTGGGCCTAAGACATGGTTTTTAGCCTTTTACTTTGTGGTAGAAATCATATCCACAAAAATACCAAAAGCAAGCAACTTACTCAGATCTAAAGTGATTTAGTTATGTAGTTGTTGGTGAAACATTACTCTCCAATTGTGTGGTGAAACAAATTTCTAGGATTGTACTCATCCTAAAGCTAAAAGCTACAGATCCAAGAACCCGAGGCAGCTTAGCCCTAACGAAAAATTTTTCCAAGAGTCTCATGTTCCTCTCAGATACTCATTTTCTCCATACATTGTCAGCTCCTGAATCTCACCCTTAAAAATTTAGAAAAAAATCCATTTTTCTTTAAATATGTACAAGTCTTAAATTTACTTTCAGGGCTTACAGTTACTTTCCATTTTCTCAACTGAAAAAATAAAATTCTTTAGTTTTATCATTAGAAATTGGTCACTATTTGCGCAAGGATCTAAGGTCTTGTAGGACTGGAACTGTGTTTCATGTGCCTTGCCCGATGCACTTCACTCAGTGCTAAGATTACAGTAATATTTCTATTACTTCATTAACCCAAATTAGTGTTTTAATATAACTGTCAACTTTGCATTTCTTCTGGGCAAGAATTTATTTCGTGTCAATGGGCAACCCAGTTAATTCTGAGCACAAACACATGCTTCCTCTAAACAATGTCTTAATGCACTTAAGCAAAGATTTTTCTAACTACCCTTCACTCCTATATACACTATATCCACTGTAACTAGGGCACTGGTTTCTTAGCAATCTGGTTTGGATCCATCTAAGGAAGGAGATTTAAAAATCCCTTCATTCCTACCATGACTCGATTCAAAACATCACGACACTGTTCATATCCAGTGAGGGTTTCCGGCTGATGACAGGGACAGGTCTGCCCAGAAAGCCGCTGCCGCTCCAGTTCATGGCCCTCAGGGACAAGCCCCGGGTCCACGAAGAGCGGGACGTCCTGCGTCCCAGCGGCCAGACGCCCCACATGCGAACCGCGGGCCGCCCCAGTTCCGGGACCCGACAAGCTCCCGCACGCGGCTGGGCGACCGCCCGGCCTCCGCTAGGAAAACAACCCCGGGGCCGGCGCGGCGCGGACCCCGCCGCCTCCCGGGTGCTTCCTCCCACGACCCCGCGCCCCGGCAGCACGGCGCAGGAGGCGCCCCTCGGGCAAAGGCTGTCCCACCCCCGT